GTCGCCCAGGCCGGAGGGCAGCGGCCGCTCCCGGCCACCGCAGCCTCGACCCGCCGGGCTCCGGCGACCCTTCCGCCTCGGCCTTCCGAGGAGCCGGAACTACAGGCGCGCGCTACCACGCCCGGCTCATTTTTTGATTGATTGTAGAGATGAGGCAGGTCTCGAACCCGCGGGCTCAGGCCATCCACTCGCCTCAGCCTCCCGAAGGCGCGGGATGACAGGCTGAGCCACCGAGCCCGGCTTCTTTTTCCTTTTTTTTAGAGACAGGGTCTCACTCTGTCACCCAGGCTCGAGCTGACTGCAGCCTCCACCTCCCGGGCTCCAGGGAGCCTCCTGTCTCAGCCTCCAGAGTAGCTGGGGCTGCCGGCGCCACCATGCCTGGCTCACGTCTGCGTTTTTTTGAAGAGACGAGGTCTCGAGGCCTCGCTGTGTTGCCCAGGCCGGTCTCCGAGCTGGCCTCTCGCGATCCTCCCTCTCCGGCCTCCCAAAGCGCCGAGGGCCCCGGGGCCGCCCGCACACCTGGCCTGCCTTCCGACAGGCGCTGACCTGGAGGGCCGGCGACAGACGAAGGTGAGCAACCGGCACCTGGACTTCCTGCCCCCCGGGCTGCTCCTGTCTGCCTACCTGGAGCAGCACAGCTGATGGCGGCCCAGGACTCCCCCCTGCCGCCAAGACCTCGGATCCCTTCTGGGACAACACCTTCCGCGTCTGCAGGCCCCGACCCGGGAGGCCGCTTTCCCTCGGTGGTCTCTCCCACCCTCGCCCCCTCCTCTCGCAGCTCTCAGCGACAGACGCCGGTGGCTGGGGCTGCTCGGACCACCCGGGCCCCTTGGCTCCGTGTTCAGGGACTTGTATTTGGGTGAGGAGACCCACCCTGGGCACGTCCGTGTTTCTTCTCGGCCTAGCTTTTCCGGCCCCGTCGGAAGCTCCGTGAGGAGGGGAGGCCGGGTTTTTAATCACTTTTAATGCATTTGTTGTGATTTGTTGTAGATTTTTAAATTCCCCTTTTGGAGAGAAAAGCCAAAAACTCGCCCCCGCTGGCTAATCGTGGGACTCGGTCCTCGCCTGTGCTCCCCCTCCCGGTTTCAGTTTGGATGGGGGGGTCTCCGGGGTCTGGCCCCTCTGAGCCAGGCGTGTCTCGTCTGTGTCTGTGTGTTGTGTGTCCCACGGCCCGGGACAGCTGCGTGCTAAGCGCTGTTTTGCCCTCGGGTCCCCCCCACCCCGCCCCGGGGGTCCCACCTGCTCCC